TACAGGATTGATATCATGATGAAGTCCATCATTATTAATGTTCTCGGTTCAACACCAGCTTGTTCATTACTGATTTCCTCAGGAGTTTTGTTTGATGTAACCTGTGTACTGAGGGTGATGATGATTTCTTGAATGTAAATAATACAATTATTAAGCATTTCTCATGAAGCTTTTCTTAACAATAAATCAAAGAATAGTACAAAGTTTCAAAAAAAAAGATCATTTGAATTTGAATCAACCATACTTTTCTCCTGTCGCAGGAGATCAGGAAGCATGGACCCAAATTGGGATTTTCATTACAAATTTAAATGCTTGCTATCTTTCACAATATAACTCTTTCATTGACTATTTCAAACCATCCATGACAGGGCTGGGCTTCATGGCAAAAAAAAGGATTATCAGTTTTCCTTGTCTCGGTTACCGTTGAATAAATAATTAGGTCAAGACTTCAAAGTTCTTACAATGATCAACATTAACAAGCAAAGCCATATGTATGGCTGAAATTGAACCCCATTTCCAAATCTTATGTTTTGAAAGTGTAGAATGTTTTGGAACAATATGTTTCATGTTTATTTAAACAAGACAACATCATCAGTACACAACAGAACACAAATTTTCTAATACATTAAAAATGTCAAACTAAGGAAAAATAAATACACTCAGACACATACCATTCTCATTTTAATTTCTTCACACATAACAATAATATAGAGCAAGTAAAAAAAAATATTGCAAAGTGTAGTCATAATAGTCAAAGAAAATGAAGACAAAATATTTATTGCATCATTTGATATAAATCAACTTACATTTTCACATCACTGGATGAATGACCAGAAAGATGAAGGACGCCACTTACTATTACAAGCCCATCATCAAATGGGGGTTTCATCACCAGAACAAACTTTTACAGCCATCTCTCTAATTAAAATAAATCAAAACTATCAAAATCATTTCAAAAATACTCCAAAGAAGTGCAACAATGATTGACTGGAGTCACATCGTTTTGATCAAAATACTGAATAATCAACACTTACGTAAATTGTAAGTTTGAATCAAGGCTTAATGTCATTGGTCTGGATTTCCATAATATTTTCATATCATGAGATAATAATGTAACAGACCAGTCATTCCATATGATAGCCAAAACCTGTCATATATTTGCAATGTTGATAACTGGGACAACAACTTTCTTAAAGAGTCTCAAGAAAACCTCAACACCAATTTCCTCTAAATTTCAATATCAAAAATTCACATACAAATTTCCATTTTTTTGCTACTCAGTTTGGTATTCTGTTTCAAATTCCACCAAATGTAAAAATTACCAGCTGTTCATTTATTTACCTGAGGGCAGATGTTATTTCTATGAGACATACAGCCTGAGTTCATTGCAATAGGATATAACACTTCTGTCTTGTTCAAGATATTGTAAAAGATATTGATTTTATTGCTCCTTCTATGTAAAGATATTCCTTCTATGTAAAAGATATCTTCTATGTAAAAGATATTGATTTTATTGCTCCTTCGACATTTACTTCGTATAAACCAAAAAGAAAAACCTTTTGGTGAAGATGGAAGAGCACAGGACTGGAGTAATTTTTGTTTTCTTTCATTTCGGAAGCATCATGTTCATCGCCAAAGTCTTCCGAATGAAATGAAAACATTTTTACTCCACTACCAGATACAATGATGATTTCTGTGAGAAAAAAATAATAAAAACAAGTACAATAAATTTTAACAGCGAGCCTTTCGGAATATAGAGTTACCTTTAAGACCGTTTCCATCAAAATCAACTATCAATGGTGGAACCCTAAAGAGTTAAAATAAAACGTTCACAAAGCTTTAGAAACTGATGAAAATAAAACTAAAAATGAAAATGAGTGATATCTAATAGTACTTGATAGATTGCTCGGCAGATTCAGTTTCTTTTAGCTGCCATATAGGCATGAGTTGAAACCGTCTTGCGGTCGAAACAAGTACATAGCGACAAGTGAGCTGACAACTACAGCAACATCGATGGGACGAATAGCTTTGATGATTCCCATTAACTTGTTTCTTACTTTGAAAGTACTATCTGGTTCCATTTCAATAACACGCCTTGAAACTTTAACTACTAATAAAAAGTAACGGTCAGATATAAAGTAAAAGATGCCGTATTGCAACAAATGCTCGAAAAATTAAAAGAACTTGGAGTTGTTGTACCTAGATCCTTGCAATTATTTACGCTTACCGTCTTGTCTATTAAGGAATACGTGTCCTTTCTTCACCAATTACTGCAAAAAACAGACTTAATGCAGAGCGGTTTTGCTATGACATAACATGCAAATTGAAAATTGCCTATAGGAGAAAAATGATTCAACTGATTCGCTATATCAAAACTTCATACATCTGCATCCGCTCGCAAAATGAAAAGCCTTGCTGAAAAATTTTGTATCACGAAAAAACACGACATCACAAATTGTCCTAGACAGACCAACAAAATGTGAAGGTGAAAAATATCTCAAACTGGTCCGGGTGTGGCGGTCTGAGTTAGCCATTATACTGAGATTGTATTCCGTACACTCCACAGTAATAACGCATTATATAGTCCTAATACTTACAAACATTATACACCTATTTTTTCGGTTGATTTCTGAATGTTTTAATATTCTCAGTCTCTCAGATCGCCACACCGACAGCAATATGTACATCACAATTGCTACAAGCGACCAGCGCGTCAGGGTACATTCCTTTCCCAATGGAGAGAGAAATATTTCGATCATTGACAATATTTTCGACACTCACCAAGCTTGCTAGTTACGAATATGTCAGATCTTTTAAGACCATATTTTGGTAACAATGTTTTCAAGCTTTTCCGATGTCTTCTTCATTCTTGTAGGCAGAAGCAGTGTCTATAATACACAATGAAATAAAACTATAATTCTCTTATCAATTTCAACGACCATTATTTTACTCTACTTATTTTCAATCATTTTGGTGTAATCCTTGTGAACTATGTAAATTCTTTCTCAGTTTATTTGACAGGCGCAATTATGATGCAGAAAACATTTACAATAGGTACAATGCATGCATTATTCTTTCTTGGCCATGTACGTATGCACAGGATCTTGCTGGATAATTTGGTCAAATAAATTTTATATTCACTTCACCATTCTTCTAATTGATTACAACATTGATCCTCGCGTTTAAGTTGCGCTGCTACAGGCCAATGAATCAGATATAAATCTAAATATTCGTATCCGATGTTTTCTATTGCTCGTAAACACGCACTGTACGCAGTATCAAGACCTTGATCATTTAGAACTTTAAACAAATATAAAAATATGTTTACAACAAACTGTCTTCAGATTGGAATTTCCATCGAGCAGTTACCGTACAGAAGTAAAAAACCGTCTTCCCGTTTTACAGTTATTGTTGTCCCTAGATCCTTGCAATTATTTACGCTTACCGTCTTGTCTATTAAGGAATACGTGTCCTCTCTTCACCAATTACTGCAAAAAACAGACTTAATGCAGAGCGGTTTTGCTATGACATAACATGCAAATTGAAAATTGCCTATAGGAGAACAATAATTCAACTGATTCGCTACATCAAAATTTCATACATCTGCATCCGCTCGCAAAATGAAAAAGCCTTGCTGAAAAATTTTGTATCACGAAAAAAACACGACATCACAAATTGTCCTAGACAGACCAACAAAATGTGAAGGTGAAATAATATCTCAAACTGGTCCGGGTGTGGCGGTCTGAGTTAGCCATTATACTGAGATTGTATTCCGTACACTCCACAGTAATAACGCATTATATAGTCCTAATACTTACAAACATTATACACCTATTTTTTCGGTTGATTTCTGAATGTTTTAATATTCTCAGTCTCTCAGATCGCCACACCGACAGCAATATGTACATCACAAGTGCTACAAGCGACCAGCGCGTCAGGGTACATTTCTTTCCCAATGGAGAGAAATATTTCGATCATTGACAATATTTTCGACACTCACCAAGCTTGCTAGTTATGAATATGTCAGATCTTTTAAGACCATATTTTGGTAACAATGTTTTCAAGCTTGTTTACGAGCAATAGAAAACATCGGATACGAATATTTAGATTTATATCTGATTCATTGGCCTGGAGCAGCGCAACTTAAACGCGAGGATCAATGTTGTAATAAATTAGAAGAATGGTGAAGTGAATATAAAATTTATTTCACCAAATTATCCAGCAAGATCCTGTATATACGTACATGGCCAAGAAAGAATAATGCATGCATTGTACCTATTGTAAATGTTTTCTGCATCATAATTGCGCCTGTCAAATAAACTGAGAAAGAATTTACATACTTCACAAGGATTACACCAAAATGATTGAAAATAAGTAGAGTAAAATAATGGTCGTTGAAATTGATAAGAGAATTATAGTTTTTATTTCATTGTGTATTATAGACACTGCTTCTGCCTACAAGAATGAAGAAGACATCGGAAAAAGCTTGAAAACATTGTTACCAAAATATGGTCTTAAAAGATCTGACATATTCATAACTAGCAAGCTTGGTGAGTGTCGAAAATATTGTCAATGATCGAAATATTTCTCTCTCCATTGGGAAAGGAATGTACCCTGACGCGCTAGTCGCTTGTAGCAATTGTGATGTACATATTGCTGTCGGTGTGGCGATCTGAGAGACTGAGAATATTAAAACATTCAGAAATCAACCGAAAATATAGGTGTATAATGTTTGTAAGTATTAGGACTATATAATGCGTTATTACTGTGGAGTGTACGGAATACAATCTCAGTATAATGGCTAACTCAGACCGCCACACCCGGACCAGTTTGAGATATTTTTTCACCTTCACATTTTGTTGGTCTGTCTAGGACAATTTGTGATGTCGTGTTTTTTTCGTGATACAAAATTTTTCAGCAAGGCTTTTTCATTTTGCGAGCGGATGCAGATGTATGAAGTATTGATATAGGGAATCAGTTGAATTATTTTTCTCCTATAGGCAATTTTCAATTTGCATGTTATGTCATAGCAAAACCGCTCTGCATTAAGTCTGTTTTTTGCAGTAATTGGTGAAGAGAGGACACGTATTCCTTAATAGACAAGACGGTAAGCGTAAATAATTGCAAGGATCTAGCTACAACAATAACTGTAAAACGGAAGACGGTTTTTTACTTCCGTACGGTAACTGCTCGATGGAAATTCCAATCTGAAGACAGTTTGTTGTAACCATATTTTTATATTTGTTTAAAGCTCTAAATGATCAAGGTCTTGATATTGCGTACAGTGCGTTTTTACGAGCAATAGAAAACATCGGATACGAATATTTAGATTTATATCTGATTCATTGGCCTGGAGCAGCGCAACTTAAACGCGAGGATCAATGTTGTAATAAATTAGAAGAATGGTGAAGTGAATATAAAATTTATTTCACCAAATTATCCAGCAAGATCCTGTATATACGTACATGGCCAAGAAAGAATAATGCATGCATTGTACCTATTGTAAATGTTTTCTGCATCATAATTGCGCCTGTCAAATAAACTGAGAAAGAATTTACATACTTCACAAGGATTACACCAAAAATGATTGAAAATAAGTAGAGTAAAATAATGGTCGTTGAAATTGATAAGAGAATTATAGTTTTTATTTCATTGTGTATTATAGACACTGCTTCTGCCTACAAGAATGAAGAAGACATCGGAAAAAGCTTGAAAACATTGTTACCAAAATATGGTCGCGCAACTTAAACGCGAGGATCCATTAAATCTGACGCGGCGAAAAGAAAGGTGGAAAGCATTGGAAAAGCTTCTTCGCGAAGGTTGATGGGATACATTTAAATTACTCATTTTCTTTATTATTTCAAGACCTTTGTATAAAAGATAACCATTACCGAAATTTAACCAACACGATATACCGTCTTAGACGTCATAAAAATTGTGTAAAAATGGTCTATTACAGGAAGAAACATATTATAAGTAATGACCTTCGCAACAATTTAATAATTTAAATAACACGACGTAATGTAATAGTAGTAATACTAAATACATATATTTTGGCAAAATGACCTGAAGATAGAATCTTAACTGTCTAGTGTTCAGACTATTTTTATTTTAAGTACGCTTTCCTTTGCGATTGTTTCTCTTGATCAACTCAAATGCAACAAAGGTTGTGTTTTCATTTAATGGGAAACATTTTTTTATCTACAGGCCTTAAAAGGTAGAAAAAAGAAGTTATGTCTTCATTTATCTCCCTCTTTAGTAAATTAAAAAATCACCGGAAAGTTGATAAAATCATCTAAATGAATTTATAACAAACTAATTAAGCTCTATTCATTGATACCCGCGTTTATAAATTTGAGTTTACTAATGTAAAAAATCTTTTTAAATTCAAGTAAGTATTGAATATAATAGCATTCATTGGCAACTTTTCTAAAAATTTATGTACCCCACCCCCCCACCCCCCCACTCCTCGTATAAGACTCATCCTCAAATTATCTCCCACTTTATGGGAAGTAAAAAAATCCAGGGAGCTAAATAGAGGAAAAACGGTATAAATAAATGTGCGATAACTTACCCGGCTGTTTCACCATCAATTACATCAAAAGAAGATTCGTGATCGCGATTTTTTAGAGCCTTTATCTCAGCTTTGAGCTCGCTGCTCTGTCTGGCAAACAAACTAACGTCTTTTTCCAAAGCAAGCATCTTTTTCACGGCGATGTCAAGATGCATCGTCTTTTCTCTTTCGTTAGTTTTCTCGAGCTCTCCGACTGCACAGCGATAACGTTCCGCATCGCTATCCAAAGCGTTGATTTTCGCGCGCAGTATTTCAATCTCACTGGTTTTATCTACAGCGACGATCGTAGTCGCAGAAATGGCGTCTGTGTTATCAAGCGAAGTCTTAAGTTCTTCGTGTTCATCTTGTAGATCACGGAACTCAAACTTTAAGTCTTGTAATTCGTCTAAAAATTAGTCACATCATTAACAGAGTTTATAGCCCGCCTAACAAATGAACGAGTTTCGTGAAAGTCCTTCATGAAGTTCATTTAATCTCGTTTATAAGTCTTCGTTTGAAACATGCGTAACATCTAGTGATGGAGTTAGTGTAAGTTAAATTAAATTATAGTTGGTCAATTTTGAATTGGACAAACCTTCTGAACAAAACAAATGGTTATGAGTTTTTAAAGATTATGAATAAAAACAATAAAACGCGTGCGGCGATTGGTCTATAGCTGTGTTTACACTTTTCATTAGCCTGTGCAAACCGATTTGAGCTCAACCATCAAATCAATCAAGCAAAGAGAATTTCCAAATAGACCATGAATACATGTTAGACGAAATAATAAACATTTCTTTTAAATTTGTTAATCTTGCATTATCGCTATTTCATAAAAGACACGAAAGAAACTTTTCGTGTTTCCACTGGTTTATGCTAACCTCGGAGACGTTGTGAGAACTCTCGAGTAGGGGCAACCTTGTGCTGATCTGCTCTGGTGTTTTCCCAAAGGTCGCCTCGGTTTGAATGAGCCTGTGCAAACCTAGTAAACACATTTTATTTCTTAAATAAATTTTTACAAATTAAACTGCCTCTAACGTATTTGGAAATGGAAATACATTGTAATTTATTTCGAAAACTGGCAACACCAATATTTTTATGAGTTGCTTGTTGCATCATTTCTACCATCAGAAAAAGGAAGCGCAAAACCCTTCTAAACGAAATAATTATTGCACCGCAAGTAGCAAAATTTCAAAACACGTGTATCTATGTCTGAACAGACAATGGTTAAGTGTAATCTATTTGTTTTACGCAAAATCGAAGGAATTCAGGCAAACAGTTGTATTTTGTTTCTTTCGACGTTGGCAAACCGGTTTTTTCCTTTTCTTTTTGTTCAAATACGTCAACCGCCTGAAGTATGTTTATTTTAAAGAACTTCATTTGTCCAGGGATAAATTCTCGTATAATTATTCGTATGTCAGTGCAGTTTATCTGCAATTGCACTGTTAAAATTTGTAATTGCAATGCTAAAAATCTCTAATTGCACTGTGAGTACTGTTTCCTGTTTGGCTGAAGAGCTGTGAAAGCCAAACATACTTCTTTTTGATTAAAAAGACATGGTGCAAGTTGTAAGTAAACAAGGCTTTCCACATTGCAATCGTTTGAAATTTACGAATTGCAAAAGAATGCAAAGAATAAAAACAAAACAGCAAGTACTGTTTTTTTGGTGAGCATTCCGTGCCTCTTTCGTAGACAAAATAAAATTAATGCTTAAACTCTTGACGTTGTCCTACAATATGATGAAACACAATATGTTTTTGGATTATACCTTCGCATTCTCTTAAAGTGCTACTGAAGTGAAATTTTCATATTTCGTTTTTCGATACAAACGTTTTCTCTGTATTTTACTGATCATTTTGAGCTATCGCCCACTGGATTTAGTCGATGGGAACGCATCGAACTTTGCGTTCAAACATGGCATATTTGCTTGTTTTGATGCGAATTTGACTTTGAGTGCGTGACGTCATTTAAAGGACGGAAGTTCAATTTTAAAGCTCTCAGTATATAAAAATTATATACGAACAAGCATATTTCCAACTGGAATTTTACATATTTTATGACTTCTCTTCGCAAAAATTGCGTATATTTAGTGACAAATGAGCAACATGCATAGGTAAGCAACATTTACAATCGATTAGAGTTTTATAAACTTCTTGAATTAACTTATATTTCTCAATAAACTGGGTTCCGCATCCTTGACGAAGTCTACGGTTTTAACACACACGCAATGTTATCAGAAACTAACTGTAACGCGCTTATTTCCAATCATCCAATGTATACTACTTTTATAAACTTCTGGATTAGACTTATCATTCTTATCATATGGATGTCGCATCCTTGACGTAGTCTGTGGTTTTAAAACCCATGCAATATTATCACAACGCACATAATATAAGGAGAATAATTTTTTATTAAGTTAGTCCAACGTAACGATACACCGCAAGTTAAAATATGGCGAGTAGGCAAAATTCTGCAAAAAATCGTCGAGGAGGACAATATTGTGTTGCTGGTTGGCCCAACGGAAAAAGTTGTACAAACAGTCAACACACAGAGGGTGTCTCAGTACATCGTTTCCCCATGAATGACAAGGAGAGGCTGAGTAAATGGACACAATTTGTTAGGAAGATTTGTTAGATTCGAAGGTTTTCATTCAATATTAAATGGTTGGCATCCAAAGATGACCCACTTTTCTTGGCTTGGTACATATTGCAGGTAACTTGTAATCACTGTTCTCTATCTGCCAAGGCTTTTTTACTTGTTCCTAGTCAAGAAAAAAAATTACATAGTAAATGGTTTGTTCTGTTTAGGCACGTACTGGCAGTACTTCATTTCAATGAAAACCTTCACAGACAGCAAAAAAAACAAAAAATGGAACACCATATTATTCTGTGACATACCCAAAATTTAAATCAGGGGATGAAGTAGTAAGAACTGTTTCTTCAGCACCATCATATTGTAAGTTTAGCATGTATGCATTGGTACTCTTGACTTACACATCTAACCACTTGTCATTTTTCCAGACTATGTTAATGAAATCAAAAATGTCATGGTTCTTAGTTGTGAGGAATCCATGGACAACATATTTAAGAAGTATAAGGAAAAAGTCCCAGAAGCCTTAAACAAAACGTTCTCAGATCGAATTTCCAAAACTGAGGCAATCCAACGGCATTTGGATGGGAAACAACTATCTTCAACACCATTGTTTCCCACATGTAAGTTGTTCATGCTACCATGTATAATAGGTATGGCCAGTGCATTCTAAAAGTAAACACATTAAATTGTTATTTATAGATCAACAGCAAGATGTACTGCAAGCAAAAGGTCTAGACAAAGAAAAACAAGCTGCTTCAACAGGTCCTTCAGATCCAAAAAAAACGCGCTTATGCAAAAATTGTGGACAGCCAATGAAAGGACATCCAAAAAGTCATTGTCCACAACAATTACTTGAAAAATATTCTTAGCAGGCCAACTTTAAAGTTAGTTATAAAATAATATACTATGCTACAAAAAATGTTTCCTACTTCTATCAGTTTCTTTCTTGTGCTGACTTGTAGCGAGCATGTTCTTGGCCTAGGGGATTTCGTAATGGAAATTGTTTTCGGATGTCTGTGTAGATACATGCAGGTAGTGGTCTAGAATTTTCCCAACCAAGGCATCCACACAGCCATCGAATGACCCAACGGTATGCAACTGCTCTCAAATATCTATGAGAAATTCAAAATAGTAATTTCTATTTGATTAATTATTTTGACTTCACACAACAAAATGGTAAAGCATCACAGCACAATAATGAACCACATAAAGGTAAAAGTAGAGATACATGGCAAGATATTAATCATTCGTTACAAAACAAAATTAGAAATAAAAAATGTACTAACTCATTTTCATGTATTCTACGACGCTTGTATGACCTTCCATTTTGGTCTCTTAGAAGTGAGCCAACATTCTTCAAGACTGTAGCATGTGTCATAATCGTGTACTCTTCGTGAAGAGTAACACAGCTAATTTTTTCAATGCTACCATCGAATAGCAGTTTATGTAAAGTAGGCCCAACCTATTGACAACAACGGTATTCAATGGCATCTGTCAGCAGTTGAGTACGACACAAGCTACATGCACACCTATAAAAAAGTGGTTTGTTATCATATTTATGCACCACGACATAAGGACAA